CCACCCCCCCCCCCCCCGCCCCCCCACCCCCCCCCCCCCCCCGCCCGCCCCCCCCCCCCACCAGCCCCCCCCCCCCCCCCCCCCCCCCCCCCCCCCCCCGCCCCCCCCCCCGCCCCCCCCCGCCCCCCACCCCCCCCCCCCCCCCACCCCCCCCCCCCCCCCCCCCCCCCCCCCCCCCCCCCCCCCGCCCACTCCCCCCCCCCCCCCCCCCCCCCACCCCCCCCCCCCCCCCCCCCCCCCCCCCCCCCCGCCCCCCCCCCCCCCACCCCCCCGCCCCCCCCCCCCCCGAAGGAGTGGGGAGGGGCCCAAACGTGAATACCCCCCCCCCCACCCCCGCCCCCCCCCCCCCCACCCCCCCCCCCCCCCGCCCCCCCCCCCCCCCCCCCCCCCCCCCCCCCCCCCCCCCACCCCCCCCACCCCCCCCCCCCCCACCCCCCCCCCCCCCCCACCCCCCGCCCCCCCCCCCCCCCCCCGCACCCCCCCCCGCCCCCCCCCCCCCCGCCCCCCAACCCCCCCCCCCCCCCCCCCCCCCCCCCCCCCCCCCCCCCCCCCCCCCCCCCCCCACCCCCCCGCCCACCCCCCCCCCGCCCCCCCCCCCACCCCCCCCCCCCCCCCGCCCCCCCCCCCCCCCCCCCCCCCCCCCCCCCCCCCCCCCCCCCCCCCCCCCCCCCCACCCCCCCCCCCCCCCCCCCCCCCCCCCCCCCCCCCCCCCCCCCCCCCCCCCCCCTCCCCCCCCCCCCCCCCCCCCCCCCCCCCCCCCCCCCCCCCCCCCCCACCTACCCCCCCCCCCCCCCCCCCCCCCCACCACCCATACAACTACACTAATCCAACCCTAACCCTAATTTTTTTCACACCAATCCTCTCAATCTTCATGTCTTTCATTCTCTCATCTCTTCTCTCCAAACTCTCCAGACATTCTCATTCAATTTATATTTTATTTATTTAGTATTATTCACAAGTTTTTTTCTATTTTTCAAGTATCATCATAATGTTCATATATTATTTAAGGTATTCTCTTTTCATTTTAATTATGTCTATTATTTTTACATTAAATTATAATGTCTTTCCACCAATGAGGTTTACCGTTCCATCCACGGAAGAAATTGGAGCCTTCAATCCTTCACAACCATTTTCTGCCACAGGTGCAGCGTAAGTCACAACCACATTCGCCGGGCACTAGTATAGCCAAACACATGTGAGCTGGCGAGTCAAGGCACGGACAAGCCACCCCCCCCGACCGTCAAAGAGGGCTGGTCGAATGTCTGGCGATTACTTCAAACAAAACGGCCAACGACAAATGGAGGGGGAGAATCGTGTGGGATATTTAATTATGTGTGAAATTCCTATTGCTAGAAGGGACTTCGCCGACGCTGCTGCGACACTAAAGAAGAAGCATCCCTAAATACATGCATTTCAAGACGGACAGGTAGACAAATCTGCAAAACTCACACTTAATTTGATAATCCACAATCCTCAACTTTCAACAGGGCAAGGACAATAAACACATGTTTGCACAGGGAGAATAGGAAGATGATATAGTTGGCATACGAAAACGACGTTCCCCATTTGTTATGTTTCCTGAAAATCCTTTGTTTGTAATATATTTAACACTGATTTTTGTCCGCATACCCTGTTAGTAGAATACAAGTAGAAGAGATATCTAAACTTTTAACAAAAGAGATAATAACTAAAAAAAAATTTCAAATTTTAGGAAGATATCTATGCACTTACATCAGAGATGGTAATGGGTTGACAATCAAAAAAGCCCGAATTTTTTTAACCTGTTACAGTACGATTTCTTAGATTAGATGGGTTTTACAACAAAAATTGATAGGTTTAAACCATTATAATGAACAACTATAGTGCTGAACTATTATTTACGATTCTGAAGTTTTGCAAGATATTTATAACGATCGAGTTGTTAAGCGTAACGCTTTGATTAATCAGCTGCTAACACCTTCGCGGCAATATCTTATTTGAAAGAGAGAATTGGATCCGCTTGGTGAAAGGCAGATTTATCACACAGAGATGTGCTTGTCACATCATCAATTTGATAGTTAAGCATGTTTAGATAGTATAATTTCAGGATTGAGAAGGTGCGTTTAAAGCTATCGGAAATTTATCGTCGGGCGGTGTAATAACAAGTAAAGTATGGGGAGTCGTCAAATATTGTGAATCAAGCAGGACCCACCGATTCGACGCTATTGACGTTATTAGTAGACAATGCCTAGGATCTTTGAACGTCTACTCTTGGTGTGGGAAAAAGCTTTGCCAACCGCGAAACAAATTACAGATTTTCGTCAACGCGAAGAACTCTCCAGAAGAAAGTTGTCGATATTAATGATTGGGCTTGGTTATGACTTTTTTATTTCATTTCTTCAAATTTTTTATGATGCTACTAATACATTAAGTGTATTATATGTATCCAACTAATAATGTTTAGTGTTAGATATTTTACTTCAATTGCTAAACTTTTTATTACCATATGACATGATACTTTTCTAGGAAATTGTCAAGTTGGAAAGAAAATTAAGGAGATGGGTTAATATTCCATATTATATGGATTAGGCCTTTTCTAGATCCTAGAGTTTAAATATTCCGTAGTTAATGGTGTAATACTTGAGTTCGGCCATTATTTGAACACATGATTATACGTCTTATTTGACTGACTTTAAAACACAAATTGGAATAGGCTTTTTTCTTTTAATAGAACGATCACAGTGAGAGTAGAATGGTAAGTGGAAGTGGAACGTCACGGGAGAGCGATTCAGGACACTTGATGTAGCCCCCCCCTCAACTGTCCGAAGCAAGTGGCTGTTATGTGGGACGTGGCGGAAGCTCCAACTCTCCTAGTCCAACTCGTAACTACTAGACCAAAGAATGACTCGCTACTACGTGGACTTGACCTTTATGACGTATGAAGTAGACAACTTGCATGGATATTCTCAATGTGGAACCAAACAGCAAGTCAATTCCCCATTATATCCCAAATGACACGTGACATTTATATCCTGTGCGCGGTTCTACAAGTGCATCCGAGTCACATTTTCAACGAGGTGGGTCGGATTGTTGAGACAGAAGAGTTTCTTTTAAACCGTGATTAAGGGTGAAGTGATCACTGTTTACCGGATTGGACTCAGGAGAAAGAGAAAGACTAAGCACCCGGTGACGATCGCACTACTGCGGACTCTAGGCAATACAGATTGATAGGGGTTCGTAGTGTTGAGCGATGGTGGGGGGAATGAAGATAACTTGAATATTTAATAAAAAAATTAGGATTGTTATTTGTGAAGCGTAATGTACTGGAAATGTAATAGTTATATTTAGTTACAATATTACAATTAACTATTATTATTATTTTTTTAAAATGGAATTAAATTTTGAAACTGACTAATCAACCCCTAAAAAAGTACTAAACCAAACCCCCTATAAATTTGTTTTGGCCCCCAAAATAAACAAAAAATTGACGTGGGGAAAATTAAATTTCTCCAACCCCATGGGACCGGTTCCTATGCCCATGGGACCACCAGTCCCGACCAGTGCCTAAGGCACTGGTCCGGTCCTGATTTGTATTCCATGTGCTTGGGACCATAGCCCGCCGCCTGAAAGACTTGTCCCCATTTGACGCCACGACAGGCCAGGCCTGGGCCCGCAGGGGACCAGTCCCTTGCCCAGGTAAAAATGAGTAGTAAAAATCATCTGGGTGAGCAAACAAAAAGTAGTGCTTCTATTCAACTTCAATTGATTATTCATCCAATCACTTTGATGTGGATCTTTAATGTACTATCTCATGATCTTTGTTGGCTTCAGAGTTTATCAAATAGTGCTTTGCATGTCTTGTTTTCGTGCCATAATTGGTGAGCATGGTTTTTTGAAGACAAATTCTTCTCTCTTTATTTATGATTCAATCGTGAAAAGCTTGTTTGAGGATGAAAAAACAATGTATGGTGAAGTAGAAAATCAATTAGCTCTTAGTTTGCGTAAACCAGAATAAAAATCTCAAAGATATTATGGCGTTCATTAAGTAATGCTGAGTACACAATGTTGATATCAACAAATAGTGTCAGACAGATCTATTACCTTGACAACATTCACGTATTGGTATAAGCAACTCTTGAACAGGTATGAGAAAGAAATTTGTTTCTTCACAAAGCGATGTTTTATATTGAGTAGTTTATCACAACCTATTTTGCCACTTCCAATCATTCGCCATTCTAAAGCATACCCTTTTAATAGAACAACAACTGATATGTTTCCATGCCTGAATATCCATATCAATTATAAATTTCATTGCTTGCGTCCAATCAAAAAAGCCTTCACCCGATCACCCATTGTAAGTTGGAAGATGACAACATTGCTAGCTAGTTCTTTATTGACATATTGAAGGGTCTTGAATATATATCTATATTTTAAAAAAAAATCCTAACACTATTAGAAATAAGGAATATAAAATAAAAAAAGTAAGTTTAACTAAATAATTTTCTAATTTAACTAAAATCTAACATACTAAACTTCCAAATAAGTCTTAATCAAATTAGAAAATCTAATAACAAAAAGGAAAATAAAGAAAAACAATATCTAATATAAAAATCTGTCATACGATTAAATTATTAGTAAAATCCGTCATACATTTTTGACCCTCGTAGAAACTATGAGTTCTATCATTTTGTAGATGAATCTTGATTGACTTTGTAAACGGGCTTAAAAATTTGTTCAGGTCCATCTATGGGTTTTCCTATTGATGAAGCTAACTACTTAAAATAAAAATTATAGTAATATTCCATATTAAGACTTTTCATTTCTAAACTGCTGTTGGTCCAAATTCTTGCCGTTCATTTCTCTTTTTTTTTTTTTAAAGTTCATATGTTAATCATAATTTCAGATAATTAACACTTTATTGAACGTTAAATTTTTGCCATTTTAACTTGAAAAAATCTGATACAAAATAATAAATTGACATATATTAATTAAAATAAAATGAATTAGTATAATAATCCCTTTAAAAGTTACATTGAAAGGAAGCCAGTTCTGCTGGATCTTCTACTCAGTCACCTAAATCTCTTTAATTCATGTCAGCAGAATCCTTTGCAATTGTAAGAGAAATTAAAAAAAAAAAAAAAATTGACTAAAATATTTCTCTACAGAAACTCCTCCAAATCAATATCTGTTGGCACATGATATCCAAAAAACATGGAGAAATCGTTCAACTCATCCGAATCAGAAGTACACTTTGGCATCCTCCAGTTCTTTGCAGCTTCAGAATCATGCCCTTTTGTCAGTAACTCCAACACCTGCGGAGAAATAAACAATAGTCATTCTTTGGTGCGGACGCTTGATTAATTTTACAAAATGTGAACGATCGTATCTGAAAATTTTCATACCTCGCTCATTGATGGGCGCCAAGCCGAGGATTGTCGCACGCAATAGGCAGAAGCTAGCACTAGTCTGTGCATTTGATCTGAATCATATTTATCTTCCAGGCTCGGATCAATTAGTTCTGTGATGTTTCCGGATTCCATGAAGGGCTTTGCCTGCATATATTTAGATCATTTGAGTATCGAAATGACTGGAAATTGAAGGTTGTTTCATTATAAAATCACAAAATTGGAAGTTTGCATACCCATAAGAGAAGATTTTGCTGCGATGAATCGACAGGTTTTCGCCCGGTAATGATCTCGAGGAGAAGAACTCCGAATGCAAAAACATCAGTTTTCTCGTCAACAATTCCGTTCAGAAAGTATTCCGGTGCCAAGTAGCCAAATGTGCCCTCAATTGGGATCACAGCATGGTGAGTCCATTTATTCGGAAGCCATTTTGCAAGTCCAAAATCAGCAATCTGAAGGCATAAAACAAACTCTGATTACATTCAGAACTCTCTGCCGTTTTTCGCTAACAGATTGCAACGAGTAGTTTTATTAATTACCTGGGGCTCGTAATCCGGTCCAAGAAGGACATTTGAGGCTTTTATGTCGCGGTGAATTATGCGGTGCTTACAGCATTTGTGAAGATAATGAAGACCCCTGGCAACTCCCAGGGCAATCTTGTATCTCACAGGCCAATCCAGGGACTTGGTTCTTTTTCCTGAGGATTATTTATTTTCAGAATCAGTTGTATTTTCACTTAATTAAACGTTTAGTACTGAGTGGTTAATTTTTTTTTCTTACCATGTAATGCAGATTCCAGATTGCCATTCTGGGAGAAGTTGAATATCAGATAAAGTCCATTTTCTATGCAGCAACCGACTAAAGTTGCGGTATTGGGATGGCATACATGCCCAATTATGCCCAATTCCATTAGAAATTCTTTCTCTTTGTTTGCACTTTTGTTGTCCTTTGCCAGCCTCTTCACAGCAATGGTTCTTCCATCAGAAAGATTGCCTTTGTATACTTCCGAATACCCGCCTTGACCGACCATGTTATCTTATAATCCAGACGACACAAAATATTTAGATATA